GGGGGGGGGGGGGGGGGGGGGTAGTCGCTTGTTGGGGGCGCAGGACCTCTCATCCGGTGTATGGAGAAGACACAGTCGAAGGCTTGTTGTCAACAGCATGCTTGTGAGCAAGTGCACGTTTGTTTTCGTTTGTTCCGCAACGTTTGTTTTACCCTCCGCTACTACTGCCCACCAGGCACGTCATGCGCACCTCCAGGGAGGGGGTTTAGGGGGGTACTTTTACGAAGGGAAACTTATTTGTGTGTTAAGTCTTGGTGTTGCTTTCGTGTGGATGCTGGCGTTGAGCAACACGGCCAATGTTAAATTGTTGGGGTTGTGCCAGAGATGTTAGCGCCATATCGTTGTTCGTGAACGCGCGGTTCCGCTCGTGTGTATTGTAGGGCGCGCCCAAACACACAAGGGCGTGCGTGCTCTGCTGAGCGTCGACGACGCTTGTTTGTTGCCAAGAGCTGGTGGTGTTTGTTTCTGTTTGTTCGTAGCTGTGCTGTTCAGCGTTGTCTTGTCTTTTGCCTTCTAGCGTAGCACCACTCCCTCACAGAGAGCTAGCTCGTCTTGTGTGTCGCTTCCGTCTTTGCACGGGCGGCAAGCGGACGGATTTATATTGATTGCAAGGACTCCTTTAAGAAAAGGGTTGGAGATATACGTATGCTCCACGGTTGATGATAATTTACGTCAGCATGCATACCTCCTTTCAACGATGCCATAGATTGGCAGCGCCGGCAGGGTAGGGCGGGGCGAGAAGAGTATCGCCCTCTTTCTGGTGACCGGCGTTGTACGTCTTTGGAGCATCGACGGAGCGGCCAAGAAGAGCTACATTAGGATGGCCGCGATTTCCTTGGAAAACCCGATCATTCTTTGTGGCCACACGAGATGCGGGGGGGGGGGGCAGGGACAAGAGGAACACGCACGCGTGCACCACGCCTGTTCCGCCAGTTGTGCGTCGATCGTTTAGCGGAGAGGGGATGGGGGGCTGACTGGCGAAATTCCCTAAACGAAATGATTCGATAGCACACGTGGTCTGAGGTTTTCCGGAAAGAACAGAGGCGAATCGGGTTCTAAAAACTGTTTGCTAGTGACAAGGAGAAGGAGTTGTATGGGGAGGAGGCATCCGTGTGAAGAATACGGTTCGCGTGTCCCCCCACGGGTCGACCGGGTTGTGTGTATGGTCCTGATAGTTTTCGTTGCCGATGCGTTAGGTTGATGTTGCAAGGGCAGGTCATGTAGAGGGTAACTATTTTTTTAATTGTTTGTGCGTAGTATGGCGATAAAGCCCTCATTTCAGACAATGACGTACATAGTTCCGCTTGACTACAGAGAAAGGAGTCGTATCTCTGTGAAGAAACAATGTACAGGAAGTTGGAAAAAGTAGGGACCATGATCAAGGGTGACGTGAGAGGATCTTCTTCGCTCGAGATATTTCTTGAATCGGCTGGGAAGGTTCTATCAGGAATGAATGTGGCACGTGTGTTATTGTTGGCAACGTCCTTGGATTATATAGGAGAAAAAGATCAAATTGAAGGCGATGATGCCCGTTGCGCAATAACAACAGTAACGTCGGCGGCCGGCACTAATTCGTAAATTGCCTTTAACGGATGTGGTACAGTTTAAGTGAGTGGGGGTTGCAGCATGGCGGAATTTCTCAAAGCAACCAAAGTATTGAGTTTCGACGGGGCTTTTTTGGGTCTCTTCCTTGAAAGTAGCACGAACACAGCAGCAAATGATGCTATATATGCCGTTCACGCCAACCTTGAAGGTGCGGTTGCCTTGAAGTGCTGCCCGTCCCTCCACTTCCATGATAAGAACGAAGGTGCAACCAGGCGGGCCAAGATACCGGCACGACATCTAAACAACAAGGTTCGATCATACCGCCGCGGATTTTGTAAACCCCTGTGCGTTGTTGCACTGCATCTCCCTAAAGAAAAAATACTGTCAACAAAGGGTTGTGTCACACGTAACAAAAAAAAAATGTCGTTTGAAGAACACCTTCTTCTCAGCGAAGACTCAGTTGATCAACAAGCAGGCTCAACTACTGTACGTCCAAAATACCAACCAGCAGAGGCCCCTCAACCCTCACCGGAAAAATCCAACACACACACCCTTCGAAGGAGGAAGTGTTACGTATGTCGAACCATGCTCTCTCTTCTTGAAGGCTGCGTATGTATATGTTCGAAGCAATACAATCACAACGTACGAACGTACATCCTCTCACGACCAATGGGCGTCGTTCTACGGGATGGCGAGAGATAATCAATGCGTGCCTCGTGCTAATTCGATACAGACAAGCCTACGTCGAACCCAATCATATCATCAGTAGAATAAAAACGCCGATGGCAATGCACTAAATAAATTAAATGATCGGTTTCGCTATCCACCGCCAACAACAACTCCGTTCACACTCCTCCTCCTCCTCCTGTAGTTTACACCGTAGGCCTGACTATAAAAAAACATTTAGCACCCGCCGTCCACAGTTTGCAATTGAAACATTAGCTCCGTTCCACGAAAAAAATTTGGTTAAATATTTAACCTTTTTGAGACAGCCTGTAAACGAGTGATGACACAAGACGGCGACTATGACAGACAGACAGGCCGGAGCTACCCCATCACCAACAATCCATAATCTTAACAGCATGACGACGATGAACGAGACAAAAAGAACTAAAAAATTAATAATCATGATAGTGAAACTAGAATACACAACACGGGCGATGGATTGATGTCAGAATGAGCGTCCGGACAAGCCTGTCCAAGGATGTACAAAAGCAAGCCTACAGTACTCCCCGTACACTTTGGTTGCGTACTAGCTATATGTGTGTAATCTATTGAACGCGGTCTCCGAAAAATGAACACCTAAACCAATAGTCGCGGCCTCATAACACGAACACCTACACTACTGAAATTCTTCAAGCCACAATTATTTATAGGCTGTGCTCAGTGTAAAAGAAAAGTCACGTACAGCGACTGCTTTGATACCTGACAAGGTCAGGAGGACGCATACGGCAAGTCCGCCAGGACTGAGACACGCACACACAACGAAACAACACCAGCTTTAATTTCGACGGAGCGCGGCGCCCAAAACCAACAGCTAAAAGTCTCTCTCGTGTTGTTCGCGTGTTTCCCCCCTCGACATCACGCCCTTTTCTGATACACGCACATTACATGACTCATGTTAATATGTTCCCGAATGAATCGACATCAAGTTCCCAATCCGACCCTACAGCCAAGTTAGCCCTCATGCTGTAACCCCCCCCCCCCCGCCCGCCGACCTGTGATGTTCGGTCTCTCTGTCCCAACTTAGGCGCGTCATTAATGACTTAGAGACCAAAGCCGAGCATCACATTGTAATATTAGCGTGCACCCCCCAAGAATATCAAAACTGGGCGTAAATTAGTTTTGCCCCAAAAGCAAGCATCAGTGGACGAAGTGTTGTGATCCACGTCCATTTTCATGCAACGTCTACAACTGCTATTGATGTTGTCTCTAGAATCAAAGCAGCTTGCACTACGGTACACTGCGGTGATTCGTTGGCAACAGGAGGGCTTCCCGCGGTGGACACGTCAACCGCATTGCACCACAGAAGAAACGAAAGACAAAATAGACGTGCGTGCAGTCACACCGACGTGCCGACTGTATACGCATGGTGCACGCATGCGTGATATCGACAACGACAGCGAAAAAACAAGATGAAATGCAGATGACTAGAAGAGAAGAACAACAAAAGAAAAAACACACGCACTTATAACAACAGAAGCACCTCCTACTGCCCCGGGTCTCGCTGATCGATCTACAACGAGCAATCCCCGTCGACACAGCAGAACAATTCTCACCACCCACACAGACCAACGAAAAACCTAAACGTCACCTTTCCCCCGGCCCAAGAACAGGAAGAGAACATGAAGCACACCACCACCACCACCACCACCACTCACGCGCGGCCGCTGCGGACAGGCGACGCGCCTTCTCCTGGAGAAATGCTGCAGACAGACAGACCTCCACACGTCGTGCTCGCGTTCACGCTCCTCACATGAACGCGAAAGGGCGCCTTTACAGCAACACCCAACGAACAGGACGATCTCTATGGCCCAATCAAGACGACAAATTTCAACAGTAGGTCTTATTCTTTGCTCCCCCCCCCCCCCCCCCCCCGAATTACCCCCATCCGGAGACCCCCGCTACCATCCCGTTGAAACGGCCACTGGTGAGCGAACAGCCCGACCGCCACGGGGGGCCTCTTCTCCTCCCTCCCCTCGCCTCCGAAGCCATCACCACCCTCTCGCTGGTGCTGCGCGCTGGCCGCGTCCAACTGCTGAACCATCGGTGCCCACGACGTGGGTGCCCAGGGACTTGTCGGTCCCGCTCCTCCTGGAGATGAACCGGAGGACCTCCTTCGGCAGTGGTGGTAGCTGCTCGAGCTGGCGGTGCTGCTGCCGCCGCGCTGGCCGCCCCCTTGGTCGCCGTAGGCCGACGACGACGACGACGCGACGGTATCGAACGGGGCACGCGCGACGGAACGGTTCGACGGGGGTGCCACCACCGCCGCCGCCGCCGCCGCCGCCGTCGCAGAAGAGTAAGCGCCCCTTCCGCTCCCTACCGCTCCCACATACCGTCGGGAGGAAGGCGGCGTCGACATCAGTATGCCTCAATTTGCGCCCGGACGGCGGCCGCCGCCGCCGCCGCCGCCGCCGCCCCCCCCTCCCCCCGGTTGCTGCCGCGTGCCCGCGTGCGCCCACGATGCGGGGGACGCCGGGGCCGCTCTCCCCGCCGGTGACGACGCGGACGAGTAGACCACCCTCCTCGCGTACCTTCCACCGTGCCCCCCTGGCGGCGCTCTGGGCGGCTCGGCCGCGGGCGCGGCAGACGTGCGCTGGCGGCGGTCGGTGAAGGAGGAGCACCGTGGGGAGCGAGGGGGTGCGGCCTCCCGACGGTAGCACTGCGGCGACACCGGGGGGGCGTCCACGGCCACGCCGAAACCGTAGCTGTCGGAGAAGTCTGACGACGACGGTGAGGGGTAGGAACGGCTGCGCTGGTGGTGTGGCGTCCGGGGCTGGCCGTTCGAGTAGTAGCCTGGGGTACCGGCGTGCCACACGCACGAAAGCGCAAGTAGAAAAAATTACAGATTTTCTTGCTGCGCTCAGGTGAGCTGACTGTGCGGTTTGGCTGTACACACGTCGGAGCATCGTCGTCAGTTTCGGTGGTGGCCGTTTCATCTGTGTTACTATTATACACGTGTTTTGGTCGTGCTCCAAAACGCGTGATATTCTCTCGCGGAGGCCTTGAAATAAACTATCGTTTGGTCTGTCCTGTCTGTTCAAAGCGTTTCCGCTCATGCAGGAGGAGGTGTCGTCATGCTGTCAGCGGAAGAGCCTTCGCGTGTGACGACGCACCGACAGTGAACATGAAAATCCTCTCTCGAAAGCGCACCAGAAAGACACTTGGATACAGTAGTTGCCTCCGCTTTTCCGATGTTTCTGCACAAATGACCATTGCAACCTCTCCCCCCCCGTTCCCTGCCGACTGTGAAACGTTTGGTTAGCCGGGATGCCCAACAAACCCATGGCGTACCCGGTTTGACACAGCAATGCAAGGATGATAACCAGCCTAATGGGCCGGCGAAAACCCGGCGCATATCGCTCCGCCCCGGAAATGCAGAGTATGCGCTTCCAAGAGTACCCTCCCCCGCAAGATAACGGGTTCTAATCACTGCTCTCACCAGGGGGGTACCGCGTGGCAGGGGAAGACCAGTGCCTGGTGTGCCGGGAACCTCTCACGGGGGTGTTTCCGGTGCTGAGGTCCACGAAGGTAGGCAGGCGGCGCTCACAGGGGGAGTGGGGCACCCGTCCGATAACCCCGCCGCACCGGGAGGAAAGAGACGTGTCTCGCGACGAAGGGCAGGAGCCACTGTCTTCACTCACGCTTCTCGCAATCCTTGAAGAAGAAGAGGAGAGGAGGTACAGAGGAAGTTACATACATGTGGAGATGTGATTTGGGTTTAGAGTGAGTTTGACGATGTTTGCTGGGCCAGGGAGCGGAGAAAGGGGGCAGAGAGTGCCGCGAGGGTTGGTTCCAGGCAATGACGGTGGGATCAGTTGAAAGGACCGACGCGTGCCGCGTGCGAGTTGGTCAAGGGCCGTCGATTAGCTACAATACATTGGTGGAGATCAGTAGGTGACAACTGGCAACTGTAAAATAACACTGCTGTACTTTGATGGTACACTCACGCTTCATCGTCGAGCGTCGGGTGCCGTAGTTCTCCAAGCCCGTGAGCGAAGGCGCAGCTGCCCGCTGCGAGCAGCGTCATCGTTCAGGGGTATGCACACGGAACGAAGAACGAAGTGGTTAAACTAAGGCCATGGACCGGTGGAGCTCAACAACGTGGCGGGCGTTATTTTGAGGCGGTCGAAACCGAACATCGTTACCCTGTTGGCTACACTGCAATGCTACAAGTCGAGAATCAATGTCTATGATGTACTGCCCCCTACTCGACCCTCTCCACGTTATTTTTGACATCTTTTGAGGAAAAATGACGAAACTCCAACGACGTCGATCACCCCCAAACCCCGGCACCGGTACGGCTGTCTGTCTCGTGCTCGACGGGTGTGGTCATGTTGACGAAATACGCGATTCCAGGGGTGGAAAAGAAGATGTACGAAACAACCAAGTCGAAGCTAATATTGTTCTACGCACAAGTTCTTCTTGCCGAACAACAGCCAGTCGTAGTCAACATCATGCATCGTGTTGCTGCGCACAACCATGCTTGAAATTTTTGTCCTTTCGGAAACAAACGTGAAAATTCCAATGGCGCCTTTATTTCCGAGCAGGAGATGGTGGTAGGGTGTAAGACTCACCTCCGTACGGGCACGTTCCCGTCTGCCAGTGAAGGCAAATCTCCGTCTTATAGCAAAAAGGACAATCGCCCCGAGTGCACCATCAACGACGTGGCAGCAGCAGCAGCAGCAGCAGCAGGAGCAGCAGCAGTCAGTGGAGCAATGGCGTAGGAACTCAGACGCAGAGACGTAAAGCGGGAAAAGGCCAGGCAAGAGAGACACACAGATAGAAAAAAAAAAGCCACTTCCGATTCGGGAGCTTTGATCGGGCGGCGGTGATCGATGTAATCTACACATGTAGACTATGTCGTTGTTCGAGGTGACCAGCGTGGCCAGCAGGAGCTGACCAGCTTGCCCATTCTTTTCTGTGACCAGGCATCCCACATCATTACCCAATATCTACTACCTCAGACTAGTGACCAACTGCGATTCGAGATCACACGGGTCCATTTTCCTCTCCTTGGGTCTTCTTTTGTAGTCTTGGTGGTGTCTGTTTATTGGAAGACCATGGCGATTTGCATGTTAGTGCTGTTTATCTGTACAGACTCTATTTAAGGTCTGACGCGGAGGCCCTCAAATGGTGTACATGGGGAAATAACGAGAAATAATAACACAAGCCCTCAAGTATTCAGCAGTACTTTAACCGACCCCATCTTGCTTGTTTAAAAACACACCCAACCCAACCTAGACTCCTAGACTAGTTACTGCGCAGCAAGGAATTTGAGTTCCGGCCGTAGATATTATTGTAGTTTCTAGCCTCTAGTCTATGCATGCATACGACAATTTGCCTGTGCTCAATGGTTGAGACAGGGCAAGGCTTTTCGATCACGTTGTTGATGTTTCTGGGTGGGCCGGCTCTTTGTATCGCAAGGAGAGCCCGGCGACCCTCTTGTGCCGTGCCAACAAGCAAGTCAAAGGCCTAATAAACCATTTAGAACTGACTGCCGTTGTCGAATTTTGACTATTTACATAATAATTGTATTTTATCACAACACCAGCATCACTCACGAAGCAGTGCTACAACATCTATCAAGACAGCAATGCCGCGGCGGGATCAGAACGCGACCACTCTCTCTTACACCCATCTCGATCTCGCTGGCAAACGAACGGGTGTGCTACACACGTGCGTATGTGCGTATCTCGACCGGTGCTGCTGTGATGATGTGTGAGAACGACTGCACGACCGCAAAAGATCTCGACAACTCGACAATTTCTTCTGATGATCGACCTCTTTTTTCTGTGGGCAATCCATTGTGGCACAAAACCAGAGACGGTAGATAGCTACAGCAGTGCTGCAGTGCACGACCTCATCATGCTGGTAGAAGAAAGATCTTCCAGGTTACTGCCAGCCCAGCTAGGCAAGGACCCCCATACACGACAGCGTACTGCTGTAGTGTGTGTGGAACTGGAGTACGGTGAGCAGCCTGCATCTTCTATCGATGTGGACAACGCACCAGCACACACACACGCTGAAGCAGACAAGCAGACGGTAAAATTCTATCCATCTGTAGCTCTCCCGAACCAGTGTGCCAAAGCCCTGGCCACGAAGAGGACTTGTTCTAGAAATCCAAGCATACTGCTGGCACCAAAGGCAAACCAGCCAATGCAACGCCTCACGCCGCGATCTCGAGGCGGAGCCAAGAACACAGCAGCAGCAGCAGCAGCAGCAGCAGCAGCAGCAGCAGCAGCAGCAGCAGCAGCAGCAGTGGCAACCGCCAACATCGAGGGTTCGTTGCATTCAGCCGCAGTTTGTAAATCCGGTCACCTTTCGGTTGGCGAGGACGACACCGTCACCGGATCGCGATCGCCGTCTGGGTCGACGGCCTCTCGGCCTCTGCTGGATTTTCTCCCCAAGCACCTGCACCAGATGTGCGCACACGCAGCACGAAGAGAGGGTGACCGCAAACAGCGTGGAAGGGTCAGGTTCACCAATCCGTTGGGTTGGTTGATGCGATCGGACATGGCTATTTCTCTCGTACTTCCCTTCTTGCGATGAAGACCGAGGATCTCTCACCTGTGCCGGCATTTCGGGCGAGCTTGGAGTGCCCTGTGACCAGCTAGGTCGGGCACTAGCCGTACGGGGTGGGCAGGGGAGCTGCGTCGCGGAGATGGAACGAGAGGGATTGGAGCGCAAACACGGACGGCTAATCGGATCACGCCGCTTTGCTTGAAAAAAAAAAAATCACCCTCCGCTCAAGAACAAAAAAAAACTGAAAGATCCGGATAATTCAAAATCGGTGTGTGGTAGACTAACGTATGCATATGTATGTGCGCGCGTTGCGCAATCATTGATGCAATACGTATCTCAATCGTAGGTCTCGGAGGCCCAACTGCGGAAGACAATAACATACTGGATCGATAGGTAGTGCGATGTTGGAGAGCCTGCTGTTGTGTGTGTAGAAACAGGAGTAGACGACCTCCATATAAATATGCGTGTGCGTATGCTATGCAACAACAGCAAGAGTATTGCACAACCGTATACCATACCCCCTGTCAACCATCAATTTTTCAGGTGCTGAAGAATACTTCTATTTTGGTGATTGACCAAAAATGAGTACGACGACAGAGAGACTACCCGTTCGACATAGACTATAACTACAGCAGTCGAAGGGGATGTGGGAACATCTAGTCTTTACAGTAAGGGGGAGAACAACCGGCTGGATACTGTGCATATTTTGGGTCTATTGAAGCCTATATACACTACATACACACTTTTGAAGTGTTAATTGTTGGCTGACTTGCTGTACGCAGACCTGCAGGAAAAGAGGGAACAAACAGCAGTTGCTAGAGCACGATGCGTTCGTACGATGGGTTTGTACGTTATTTTCAGAGCAATATCTGATACGTGGACTGGTTTCTTCATGTCACCGAACTTCCGATGGCTGCATCATAAAGCCTCTCACGCTTCGAAAAGGGTTCGCGATCAAGATCCTGTCGTCTGCGTGTTATTCCTGGAACCGACGATCCATAGTAAGACCTGAAAATGGGGAGCATTCGTTGCCGAAGTTCACTGCCGCAGAGAACACAAGTCTTGTCTTGCAAACCAGACTACGCGCTGATCACTAATAGGTGGAAACATGGTGAATACTCCTTTCTAGCGTCGAGCAACAAACAGCGATGCAACAGCCACGGAAGAAGAAGCGAGGCTCTTGAACAACTATCAGCGCACATGGGGTCTGTAGCCTACGCCCATGCGCGCAGCCCTCCAAAGGTAAACTCCCGCTTACATCCCGCGACCGCCCCGCCCCAGCGCACAGCCGTCGGCGGCGCGCAAACAAGCAGCTCGGCCAACCCACCGCTGGACAGGTAGGCACACTAATAACAGGAACAGACGGTTGTCACGTTAATTACATCAGTACACGCTATTGTACCAAACCCAGCAACAGGATCAGCACCACACTGCTATAATAGTTACTTTAAATTTACATAAATACGGAGGGCATGACAGAGGGTTGCCGCAGCAGCACCAAACGACTAAAGCTGAAAACACGAGGGGAAATGTGAGAGGTGAAACTCTTCAAACAATACAAATCGGCACAGAGCGAGCCATACAATCCACACCCACGAAGTTTCTCACGCGCCACCGACGCTAACAACAACACTGACGTTGCTCGCGAAAAAGCCCAAGCGGGCTTGCTCCGCCACACCCAAGCAGAGAAGTATTTCCGTCAACTGCCTATTCCTCCACCCCAAACCCCCCACCCCCCGCAAGCGCGTTCTCCTGACGCCGCGCCAACAAGCAGCACAAAGAGCACCGTGTCTCCTCCCTCGCCCCACGTGCAGTGCGAGCACGTGTTCCAACTGAATCAGGGCAACCCCATCACCCGCTACGTCCGACTGACCGAGGAGCGCCCGAAGGAGATATACCCGTAAATATCTCCTCCATGCCTTGGCCGTATATCCCAAAAGCCAACATTCTCCAGTCGCAGCGGCAACGCGAGCGGACATTTCTAGGTCCTAAAAAACTTTGGTGCCCCACCCAACCCCGGTTCCCCCAGCCGAATCCTATACTGCTGTGTGCTTTATAATCAATTTGCAATTTTGCAGCATGTTTCCGCGCGTCACCGCACCGCCAACGTCCATCCTCCCCCAGGTTTTCACCACCAGCCCTTGCGCGCGCTGCGCTGCTCCTGCATTTTTCGTGCGGCATCCTGGCGATGGTCGAAGTGAAAACACGGCGAACACGCCCGGTGAGATTGAAACATAACGAAAGCGCGCGCGGTACAGCAGTCGTTCGTACGGGGGCGGTAAACATCATGAGTACTTTCGTGTGTTGGGAGGTGTGGTTTTGCAATCGTACGACACCCTTCGTGACGAAGTACCCCTTTGCAAAAATTAGAGCTCATGAAAGATATTTCGGTTTCTTGACATGATTTTTTTTCCTCGCTGGGCTACGCTCGTAGTATGTCGTCAGCACCAAGTAACTGTTGGCTGGCTGCCACGGGACCCCCAAAACACTTCATGCAATCGAATGCTCCCGTTATTGTTAGTCTGTATCCTTCACCATCTACACGAAGACGGCGCAAATTGACACTAAAAACCTGAACAGCCGTCAGGGGAAAAGCCATGAAGACAAGCCGTTCGCAACACACTGCAGGCGGGCCTACTTGTTTTGTCTACACCGGGCGAAAGCGTACCTCGCTCAACAGCGGCCCATACAACGCAGTAGTGATTCCAAACGTGCACGACCAAAGACCCCATGGTATGGATCCCGCGCTTCTGCCTCGGCTAGAGGGCAACCAACCCAGAAATCGGCTGTGCACGCGCGCGTGCCAGGTGCTCTTGCTTACCAGGACACACTTCTGGAAGTCGTCGAAGCGTTCCAGGCAGTCGTCTCTCTCCTCCGACCTCGCCTCTCCCCGCATGTACCCACGCCCGAACTTCTTCACGCACCGGTAGTACTTTTTCTGCCACTGATTAAAAAGAAAGGTGGCGTTGGACCATGTGCGCGTTGTCTCAAGTAGCGTCGACCGCGCTAACCGGCTGACGAATGAAAAGACGTCAGTCTTAGTGCGGTTGAAAACACAAAACACTTCTATCTGCCATGAACTGGGACCCCGTGAGGGGGCAGCATGGGGGAGGCGTGTGTGGGTGCGTGTGTGTGTGTGCATTTTGCGTGTGCATGTGCCCTTCAAAGCAGGGGGCAAAAACAAGGTCAGTGGTAAAATGGGAGCGTGAGGTCGAGTCGTCGCCACAAGCTTTCCATACAAAATTATCAGCAGAAGTTGGAATGATGGTTGCGTACAAAATGTCCATGGGCGGTTGTTTTTGCGTACACTATGTGCAAAGGCGACTCGCACTCTGAGAAAATTAATGTAGACACAACCCGTCCATTTCCAATCACGCTACCCTGGAGGCTGCAGCAACAAGCTACAAATACTGATCATGGCAGAACGTGTGCGCAGGTACCTTTCTTTGAAGAAAGGACCATTGTGGCGTAGGCAGCATTGTATAGGTGTGTACGTACATCCAAGTGGTTCCTAGACACACAGAGCGCACATTCCCATCATCTGGTACACTACTGAAATGTGGTCACTGCTGTCTGTAGACGATACTTCATCATGATGTTTGGATGTGAAAATTGTTACATGTAACTGCGTGCTTCTGTACAAGCAGTATACAGCCAGTCTTTGTAGGCATCGTACAGCATGCAGATATCGTCCCGCACCTTTTTGCACTCTTCAACCGGATTTGAAATCTCGTGTTCTTCGGCGCGCATGTCATTCTCCACAGACATTCTGAGTTGTTCGCCCAGCAGCGTCGAACGCAGGGCCGCAGCAGACGAGATGCCAACTACTGCTGTACCGCTGAACGACGCGGGGTAAATGAGCCACACTGCGTCTGTGAGTAAGACAGAGGTGTCAGAGAACCCGATGAACAACTTCGGTCCAGTATTCCTCCTCCACACTTGCTGTTGTCGGCCTCAAGCTTTCCTTCACACCAGCCTCAATATCCACTGCCCGGTCCCCTCTGCCGTTGGTCCCTACGCCCTCCCTCTACTGCTGTCGCACCCTTGGCGCACTGCTGTTATTACACCGACTTGCCGCGCGCGCTTTTTCGGAGATCTTCCCAAAACAATGCAATGGAACTCCATAATTTCGCCGCATTCTTGGGCGAGGAGGAGAGCAACACCACGCCTCCCGCATCAGACAGCAGTGGGGTTGTTGTACCGTCCCACACACGGCTCAGCATGGATGAAGTACAAGATGATGCGGTGACAGAATTTCTGAAAATTCTTGGCAAAGCTGAACACGAAGTCCGATCATTGCCTCAAACGAGTGCGGACTTCGAAACATGCAGCCTACGCTCAACGCTGTGCGGCCAGTTGGATGCCCAGCTAGGTGCAGCTGTGGACAAAGCCCTCGGTTCGCAAGAGCTTCGGCTCGATCCCGCCGATGGTGTTTGCCCTGATGGTATCAATAAGGTTGTGGCGCGGCTAGCGGCGTCTCCGCCTTTCGTCGGCGTGGTCAACAAGGCTCGCGAGGCGATTGAGCAAGCTGCAGAGGCTCAGCTGGCAGCAGCTACGACTCCTGTTGCCAACGCCACGGGTGACAGTGTTGCTGCGACGGGAGCAGCTGGAGTTGTTCTTCGTCGAAACGTGGATGCATTGTCAAGCTCCGACACGGAAAGAGAAGACATGCGCGTGAAGAAGAAGGCGGCGCGCAGGGATGATTGGGTGGGCATTTTCGACCTGTCCGGGGGGCTTGGGGCGGGCGGAGGAATTAGCCCTCGTGTGGATATCGAGGCCGCGCTAGGTCAACTGGAGACTGGGCTCGGGGGCTCAGGCAGCTCTACCACGAGCTCGGTCGAGGCCCTAGGCTTGCTGGCACAGGTGGGAGGGCAAAGCCGTGACGTCAAAAGCCGTTCAGTTCCACGTGTTTCTTTACCGCTACCAAAGCGGTTCTCTTTGCTCGAACTCATCACGCCTGCTTATTTCGAGTGTTAACTTACGTGCCTGCAACGCTGTTGGCATGGATGGCACCGCAATTCGTGCTTTCCTTGGGCAAAGCAAAGCCTCAACTATTGCTGACGGTCTACGCCCATTTCCCTTGCCATCTTCCTCAGGCCAATCCGGAGCTGTTTCAGTTTGGAAACCATTGGCCTCTCTTCCTGAAACTTGCTAAACGAGCTTTGGATAGCCCAGATCCGACAGTTCATGCGAAGGTGCGACGCCTGTGCAAACCAGAAGGACTGCAGTAGCGTTGTGCAAACTAGGGTAGGGGGGAGAGGCCTCCGGTGTTGTGACTGTTAACGGGAGGGAACTGGCGGAAGCCGGTGGGAGTCATCCACCACCCCACGCACGATGCAAGCCTTTGATAATATGGCCGTCTATTACCCCGTCGGTACGCAGCTCCCCCGCAAGCCCTCACTTAAGCTGCAACCGCCCCCCCTTCTCTGCCTCTTGGTCCTTGCCACACGCAACGACGACATAAATTTTTTACACGAGACCTCCACCCGTTACCATTGTTTCGCCTCGCGCAGGCTATGACCCTGCACTGGGTAATGTACGAGAAGTCCATGGGCATGTGCGCGGCGGACATGTGCGAGGGTGTCCTGGCTCACGCACGGGGGTACTTCTCGAACACGATCCACGTGCTCTCCGCCCCGTCGGCACACCGGCGCCACATGCTGGCTGGTGGAAAGGGCGCCGAAACGGCCGATGTGGGAACTGCCAATCTCATGGTCATCGGGGACTCAAAGCTGGCTTGCGCTGCGCGCATGTCAAGAGCTCTTCACGGCATGCTTGTGACGATCCACGAGGTACTTTTTCCCTTTAACTTTGTTTTTTTTTTATGCCTTGAGGAAGATGCTCACAAGCCCATATTTTGTGTGTTGGCAGGGGGTCTTGGGCCTATGGTCTGTCGCCGTTGCAGCTATGGCGTTTTGCCCGTTGCGACGAAATTCGTATCTGTTTTATCTTGCGGGGCATTTCAACCGTTCGAGTGGTGTGCGAGTGCAGACCTTACACTCGACGATGAGATTGTACCATCCCGCAACACCCCACGCTTGTGTCTTCTTGGCGGTTTTCCTGTCGGGCCAAATGATGCAACACCGGCAACACCGTAGCACTTTCTTGACATTTCCCGATGTAGAACCTGACGACAAATTTGTTTGTTGGTCTTTCCTTCCCCGACAGACGTTCCAACATCTGCCGGAGCGGCGCGTTTGGAGCATTGTCAGTTCCTTCTTTTCTCTATTAGGCGATACTGTCGCTTCCTTGGAAGGGGCGCCAGGCGATCCAACAGGTTCGGGCATGATCGACTGCGATTCTGATGTCAATCCTGATTGTGTCGAGGAGGGCGGAAATAGTAACGGGTGTGACTACGCTGCCCCTTTGCCAGATCGGGTGTCGTATCAGCCCGAGGGGATCGCATCTACCTCTACGGTCCTCATGTCGGCGCACTTCCTCGCCGTTGTTGGCCGAGTCGATGATTGGCTGCCAGCTTGGCTTAGGTCCTTGCCCACCGGGCAGCTCGTGCGGGCGGTAAACGACGCGGGCCTTGTGGAAGCAATGACCCGCAGGTGCAAGTCGCAAGGGCGGATTCCCTTCTGCTCCAGAAATATTTGCCAAAGACCATCCGGCTCCGACGCTGACGTTGCCGCTGCCGTTGCGTCAAACGGTACCCGTGGTACCGCCGGCCCCACCGCACCCGAGTCGGCGCCGCCGGAAAGTTGTCAGCCCAAGGCTGCTGTTGTGAGACACCGTCTCAGCGTAAGCGCTGGTTCCTCGGGTACCTTTTCTTCGGCCGGTTCGGCGGCGCCCCTGGGCCGTGCCCTTTGGCTCTCGGCCGCAGAGCTAGAACGATCGCTCCTGTTACAGTCAGTCTCCTTTCTCGGAATTCTCGCCACGCACTGCCGTGGAATATTGCGGCCATGTCCACCGATCCCCGATGACGAGGACGGCAGCGAGGAACCGGTGCCGAGAGGAGAGCGAGAACGGGAAGCCATCGACGGCGGTGTCGATCGTGGCCTCGAGCAGGTGGAGGAAGTCCTGCAGGCGCTGGTGCAGTGTGCTTGGGATAGAGAGGAGCGGCGAACTGAGTCTGCAACAGGGGCGTCCTTGTTGTCGAGACGAGCACATCCCACCACGAAGCGTTCACGGTCGAGATCCGTGCGTTTCGTGGCGTTGGACTACGTTGAGCGGTTGGCAAAGGCGACGGCTGGTGGCGAATCGACGCCGTTTTCCTCTGTCGCTGTGCAGCATTTGTTTTCGCCCCTGGGTGGCGCGAAACGGACCGGCGGGGGGCAACGCGGCAGCTTTGGCGAGAGGGATGGTAGCGATGGCTGCATAAGAGAAACGGATGAATCACCGAGGAACGATTGCCCCGCGTTTCTGGGGGCACTGGCGGATATCGCGGGAGTGCTCCTGTCGTCGCGGGGTGCCTCCGCCGAGTTTTTCGTCGATGGTCCTGACGGGCTGCAGGCGTCTTGCGCTCTCCTCGAACTCGTGCGTTGCGCGGCGGAGCTCGCGAGACGTGCGTGCTGGCACCGTTGCCCTCGCGGCGAGAAGATCGAGAATGACGTGTCGGCAGAAGGACACGGAGACAAACCTGAGGGTGGGTTTATGTCGTTGGACAGGAGAGACTCGGAGCGACTCGCAGTGAGATTTGCCTGCGCACTTGCATCAATCATGTGTAATCCTCCAAAGCAACGCGCGGCCGGGTTGCAGGCGCTGTGGCAGGGGGGGGTGCCGCACGCCCTCGCCACGCTAGTGTTGCACCTGGAACACCCCAGACCGGAAGAATTGGCTTCACCAGCGCAAGCCCCGCAACAAGCCAGCGAGGGGAAACAACCCGCTTCGAGAAACAGGGATGGCGGTGATCATGCTGGTGGCTACCACGAGTTTGAGAAGCGAAATACCGACCTTCACGATCGGTTGCTACTGTCGCTGGTTGAGTGGGCGCGGGACCTTGAAGGGGTGGACTACCTGCGTAGGGTAGGGCTGGCCGTGCCGTGTGGGTCCTTCCTTGCACGCGAGCTCGGGTGTCGGCACTTGAACCGCCCCACTAGAGATGAGTGCGCAAGCCCTCGGTCACTGGCGCTTGCAATGAGACTCGCTCTGTGCGAGGAGGCTCTCAACGCGCTGCTCTCTGCAGACGGTGGCGTTACGGATGGAGTGGAGGGAGGGCTAACTCGACTCGGTGAGTTGTCGACCCTCCCGGAATTGCTGGAGTCTCAGATGGTTGACCTGCCACCAGCGCATACCCTTGATGCGCGAAGGGTTGGCGGTGACGACAATGGGGCGGGAGGGTTGTTTGAGGAGGAGCATCCTAGGAGGTTTCCGGGGCTTGAGCTGGGCAGTGACTCAGGGGATCTTCGATGCCTCGACGTAATTTCCCGCGTGGCCCTGTCGGGCACCTTCTCCTTGTGTTCGGACTCCGCCAGCCTTGGAGCCCGGCAAATAGAGAGGTGGCTGCATTGGGGGCTGTCGCGGGCGGCCCCGTCCGCAAAGCCCCGCGTCAATGCCGGCCAGGTCGCGACGAAGGAAGGAGAGGACGGTTATGTACCTGAAGATGTTCGTGTGGCGGCGCTCCACATTGTCACAAATCTGGCGGCGGATTTGTCTACCGCCATCGCGATCGAAGCAGAGTGGTCACTGGCGGACACTCTCGTCCAGCAGATGTCAGACGAGGAGATGGTAGATGCGTGTACTTCGGACGACGCCGGTGTCGGCGGCGAGGCGGTTGGGAGAATAGCTTCGAAAGGGCGTGACAGTTCCCGCACGCCGTGCAACAGCGACGGCGGCAGCAGTGGCGGCGAGCACGGCGTCGGAAGCGTCTGTATGCCCAACATAGTGGAACCTGCTGCGCTTGGCTGTGCCCGCCTAGCAGTGTCACTTACGTGCCTGGGTGGTCCCAACGAGGAACGACACGTGTTGCTGCGAAGACTTCGACATGCCGAGGCGTCGGCTGGCGGTGTGATTATTAACTCAGGGAATCGGAACGCCTCCGCTGCTTCCACCCGGGCTGCAAGTGGTGTCCGCGGGATGTCAGAGATAGTAGAGTTTCCGGGCGAAGGTGCTTCGGATGAAGACTGGTGGAGTGCCGTGGACCGGTGCGTCCCAACTGTGGTGGCGAGCTTGACTGGCCCTGATGTGGCTCGAAGGAAGGAGGCATTCGCGCTGCTGAGTAGTGCAGCAGCAAGGAGATCCCTCCTTTTGCCGAAGGAAACAACGCGGCGCTCGGCTGAACCTCGAGCGGCGGACTGCGTTTCCCCCTGTGACGACGAAGAGAGGGGTGGGCCAGAGCCTCAGGGAAGCATGTTTGATAGGAGGCAGGAGGTTATGGTCAAGCTCTGCTTTTCGTACGCGCGCGGCCTCGGTTTCGTAGATAATGGTTGCCGAGAGGTATTCGCATCTGGACTGAGGGCTACCCTGGCAGGTGCAGCCGAACCGACCGCGGGTTTGACATCCCGGTCATCGGCAGTTGACACAACCGCGACGCCTTGGCAAGCCGACTGGTTCGCGGCGGTGGCATTCATAGCCTCCGGGATGGATAGCGCAGCGGCGAGTGAATTGCTTCAAGTTCTGCACCAGCAAATCTCCAAAGCGGCGTTCTTGCTGCCGCTCGCGGGGAAGCGATATGCGTCAAAAGCGGCGCGCGACACCGCCGTCTGCACGGCCTCGGCGCGAGATCCCCCCGCTCATGTCGCGGAAGAGATGAATTCCGGAGAGCACGCCCACGAGGTGGCGGACGTTTATAGCCGTGTTTGCGCGTCACCTCTCGCAGGTGATGGTGCCCCCCCGACCGCCGCAGATCCTTCCCGCGGAGACCCACCGCTGCTCCTGCTGATGTCCTTGGTCGAGGAGCTGCTCGAAGAAGAACTGCCTCTCATGTCAGTAGCCTTGAGGGGATCGGGGTGGGCGGCGGCCCCTCTCGCGGCGCGATGGGTTCGCCAGTGCATGTTGTCCGTCGTTGACTGGCCTGGCGTGGTGGCGTTCCTCGCGCTGTCTTTACTCCGGGGTCACGATTACCAGGTGAACAGGCTGATACGCCGCCGCTGCTGTAGTGTTATGAATTGTCGCCCCCACAGAAGCTACCTTTCATCGTGGGTGAAGCGGGGAGCGGTGGCACTTTTTCGACGGGAACAACGCATGTGTCTTTCGTTCCCGTTGTGCAACTCCACCGATACTACTTTCTGGTCGACCTTCCCAACCCGCATTTTTGGACGCCCGCCTCACCCGGATCGATGAAAGATATAACAAAGATCCCTCTGATCTGCTTCATGTCCCCAACGCAACATTTTCTAACACCCCGAACGCATGGCAGTGGCACTACGCCTGTCGCCCGATACTTGAATTTCCCAAAGGCAGGCAACCGCCCGCCCCCCGCTGTCACCCACCAACTCCCACTCCCCCGCTCGCAACGCGACCCCAGGTGTACTTTGTCGTAGCTCTTTTCCGCGCGGCCCAGCCTAGCGTCATGGAAGCAGCGTCAAAGGGTCTCGACCTCACGGGGCTACTTGGTAGGGGAGAGGCTCTCGAGGCATTCAATCTGGAAGAGTCGCTTTCTTTCATGGAGGCGCTGGAGCGGCGTCATCGAGGGCGGTGCATCGCTGCTACTAAGGCGTATCTCGCTCAGTGTTAGAGGAGGGGTGCATTGTGTTAGTGCTGGATACCGAGTGAGATGGTGGGGCTTTGTCCTAAACGTTCTCGCTTTACGGACGCTCAGGACCGTGTAGGTCTCAAAGATGTAGGCCAGTGTTCACTTCTTTGTGTACACGTACAACATGCCCGTGGTACACGAGAAGTACGTGAGTTTGTTGTGTTGTGTGCGCGGCGGCCAAAGCGTGTTTCCTACATGCAAGACTTGGTAGTCAAGGCCGTACGCCCTAGCCCCCGTTCGTGTCTGGTAACAACGCTTTCATCATGGTCGCAAGGGCAAAGCGCGGCCAGTGAAGCCGAGGAACGCGTTTTCTCGGTTGACAGTGGCAGATGAAAACCTGTATGTAGTCTCCCTTCTCTACCACGAATCTTGCCTCACGGGGCGACACATGAAATCAACAAGAGGTTTCAGTGTGAATCGGCGTACAAAGTATGCCGCCCGATGCTATTATGCGTGCCATAGGTTGTTGCGGGTCGTCGCTCCGAAATACCTCTCGCCGAAAAGGCAGAGCGTTCTGCGTTCAAAACTACACCTACTCCCAGTTGTAAATGACGCCATCTTCTATTTACTATACACCAGGGTTTCCTCTTTTTGAGAGTCCACACATGGTTTTCGTTGCCATCAGATAACCAGCCATGACCATACAGAGAGGGGCAACAGATCAACACTTTGAGATGTCCGTGAAAAAGCGAGTGATGACCTATCTTGCTGCAGCAAAGAGCAAGGTTTTGAGCAAAACCACAAAACACCAATCACACGCACCCTCGCGCAAAAAATTCTGCCCGATAGTATGATCTCTGCCTTAGCAACAATCTGTAGCAGGTCACACCTACCTCTGCTTGAGACAAAGGCGAAAAGCAAATCCAAGAAATGTAAGTCGCAAAATGCCTCACGCCACTGGTGGCCGCGTTCCCAACCGACTCCTTTTCCGTGCGCCACGAAACCAGAAACAGAGAAAGGGCAGATACAATAGCTGGTTGTGGTGCACGGCCATGAAGACGAAGGTAGAAGAAGCAAGACGTTCTCCTGGTCAGCAGCAGAGGATGCCAGCTTCATTTATCCACGAACGAATTTCAAAACCAATCGTTGTCGCTGCCGTCCGAAACCACGCTTTCGCCGAAAAAAACACCGCTACCGCTGCCGCTGCCTCCTCCGGCACCATCGGCCACACTCGCGCTGCTCCCGGCGGTGTTTCCATCGCGACTTCGGGTTCCGACGCCACCCATGGCTATACGAACGCCATCGCCGCTGCGAGTGCTGAAATTCCTCACCGCAGCGCTCGGGGGGTCCTGCTCGTTGTCTTCCCGATCGCTGCTGTAGATCGGGGAGTGTTCACGAGGAGCGTAGCGGGGTCGGGGGGGGCGGGTAGATGGGTAAGTAAATGAAGCAGTCGACATTTGGCGTCGCTACCGTCGTACAGGTAAATAGCAGTGGTGCGAAGATGGGCTGCTTCATCGGACCACCGAAACTGCGCGAGTGACCACACACACCCCAGACCGACTTTCGTACATAGCTCGATTGCTCCAAGGTGTCACTGCCAAAAAGGGCCGGTTTTGGCGAGATCTCATCGATTGCTTCCCTTTGGCGAATCGGTCGGTTCTCGCCTCTTGGTTGTGGAGCCATCGAGCTTTGAAAGTCGGTCTAGGCTGGGGTGCTTCACTCACACAACACTACGGCACCTTCCATAGCAAGGTTTCCAGGAATAAAATTGTGCCGGTTGGGGCCTACCTCCCTGCCTCTCTGCTCTGCACCAGCTTTCTGTTTTGATCGTCGTGGGCAGCGGTCCCAGAAATCATCCGTTACAACACAACCATGTCCCTCCATCGCGCTACATAACTATAGGTGACTTGAAAGTCTGCTTCGGCCACAGTGAGACACATCTCCCCAATGCCCCACCTCGCCGAACCCACGCACGACAAAAATAATCACAAACGAGCCTTGACAACAAATATTAATATTCTGAATCCAGAGGCTGGACACTAACGTCCGGTCTCCTCCGCGCCCTCCCCCATGGGCGTACCGGTGGACTACAAAATGTGTTCGCCTTTCGTCGAGCCAAGACTGCTGTCTGTTCGACGGCAAGGTGAATAGGGCGATTTTTCCATCCATGAGAAGAAATACACATCCGAGCGCATGCCCACGAAAACTCACCTGCTCTGCCCCCCCCCGACCTCTAAGTTACCCCTCGACCTCGTTGAAGGCTCTGACAGGTCGCTCACGCTGCCGCCAAGGTCACCGCCGTCGTGGTGGCCGCTGCTCTGCGACCTTTGCCAGCGTTGAGACGCCCGCGGCGAATCTTCTTTTCCCGCGTCACCCCCCGTCGCCCGCACTGCGGGGATATCGCCGGCGGTGGTACCGACTCCCACCCGAGTTGATTCGGAGCGTGGTTTCTGGTCATGCTGCTGCTGCTGCTGCTGCTGGCGCCTCTGCCTGATTTTTTCTCTGTATTCTTGCACTTCCCGGTGCGCCTGGTTTCGTACAGAGAACAAATTCCAAGAAAGGCCGTGCGGAAGAAACTGAACAAGGGTTGCTGGAATTACGGTTGAGGGAGGAGAACGAGAGAAGGAAAGTGCAGGGTAGCGGCGGAAAACTTCAAGCAACAAGCAAATGCGAGATGGTTTGGTGGCCCACGTGGGGCACTGACTGTCGCATTTTCGAGAGCTCCCTTCGTCCCTAACTTTCCGACGCAGGGCGGTGTTTCTTGACTCTCTCCTTGCTTCTTCGCACACTTTCGCGTTCCGCAATCCACGTACTCCATGGAGAACGCGTGTGCTGCCAACAGACAAAGGTTCGACAACGACAAGCTCTGCTACCGCCGTTCACCAAAGCACCGCGCAGTACCTCGGTCTCGGCACCCTCCCCCGGCAGCATCAAGCACAGCCGGGTGCCACTCGGTTTGAAAATATAAGGACCATTCGGATACCAATGTGAATATTGCAATGGTTCCTATGTTTCAAAGCAGAGATGCATAGAGGTAGCCCGATCGATGCACACCTGGGCCTTGGCGATGTCGGCCTCGTCGATTGCCTGCGGCTCCACAGGCCCATCTCCTCCCACTCTTGGGTCGTCTCGTTCGTCGCCGGCCTGAGTGATATCCACTTGCTGTGCGTCCACCGAGCCGGCAACCGCGTCTCCGCTTTTCGCCCCCAACGCGCTCGCGGCGGTGAGGTCTGGCCTTGTCTGCGTCGCTCCCGGCTTCTCGGCTTGAATCTGTCCCCCCGGTGCTTCGTTGGGTGTATCCCGGGGAGCGCTGCTTAGAGTCGGAGACTTGCGTGTTGTTTCGAGGTCGGTCTCTGTGGATGGGACAGTCCGCGAGTCATGGTTGGTGGTCGGTGAAAGTACCCCGCTGTCAGTCGTTAGTTGCTGCTGCTGCGGCGGCTGCTGCTGCTGCTGCCGCTTGTTGTCTGCGCCATCTTTACGACAAGTTCCCACATCTTCTACCGACACTCCGGTCGAACAGGAGCTCCGGGTAGCCCTCTGAGGCAGCGGGGGCGCCAAGCTCGAAGCCTCAGGCGGAGTTGCCGCAGCTACCGCCGCCACCTCTGCAGCCGCGTCTGCCTCCATCGACACCTGTTCTTGCCCCCCCAAATCACCCCCCCTGACCCCGTCAGCATCGTCGCCCCTGGCCCCATCAACCCTGCGTCCCTGCCCTCCCCCCAAAGACACATCCTGGCCCGATTGTGCACCCGCGGCCTTTGCTGCTACTCCTTGTGCGGTCTGCACGCCGTTGCGTTCCTGGTCCCTCTGCCTGGTTTGCCGTTGCTCCTCCTCCTCCTCGTTGTCTTGGACCCGTCGCCATTCTGGATCGGCCCTGGACCCCCTCCGGCGGGCCGCCCTCGACGCGGCGGCTGCCTTGTCCTCCTCCTCCTCCAGCCGCCGGCGCATCGACTCCATCTCCAGTTCTTCCCGCCGAGCTCGGTCCGCCTGTCCCATCCCATACAAAAAGGTCAACGGGCGCCGACGAGGAGCGACCGGAGTGGGACCGGAGAGCCAACAGATATGTGCAAAGTGCGGGAACAACACGCATGGGCCAGGGAAAGGCAGTGCACGGTTACGGACCTCAAGAGCGGTGGATTGAAAGTCGACGAATATTAACATTCACTCAACAGCTATACTGAGGGGACAGTGAGGCGGGGCAATCGTGTGCGCACGAGCTCACGCCCTTCGTGCAAGACGTATGGCACGACTTGGCAAACAGAGGTGGCGGGAGGTTTTGAAAACCGCGCATGCGTTCTCTCAATCGTGTGCACATTATTGCTCCTCGCCAGCAGAGGGTCTCGCCTCACCTCACGCTCCCGCTGCCTCTCCTCTTCCCGCTGGGCCTCTCGTTCTCCAAACTTGGCACGCTCTGCTTCCAAACCACGCGCCATCCTCTCTCGCTCTTCCACGAGGAGGAGCTCTGCAGCTTGGACGCGCTCCCTAGCAGCAGTTTCGCTAGCACCAGCGGTGGCGGCAGGCGCAGCACTTGACCCTGATCGCTCTTCGCTGGGGCGACGCCGTCTATAGCTGTCGTTCCACGGACGGCGGCGGCCCCCTCGCCGGTCACCTCTGTAGGGGCGGTACTCCTCGTTTCCGCTGGATGACCCGTACTCCTCGCTCTCCCACCTCCCGCTCCAGCCGCGGCGAGAGGGATCTCGGCGGTCGTCGAAGCTCGCCCAACGCCGTCCGGGTGTAGACCGGACAGACAAGTCCGCGCGGCCTCTGTCGTCGCCGCCGCGGCCACCGTGCCTGTCGTTCCGGGACCAGGGCCTCCTCCCAGTCCGTGACCGCCGGCCGCTACCGCTCGGGTAGTCGCTGCTGCCGATCTCCACGTCTCCGTCGCTCCAGCACTCGGGTTCCGACTCCGCCTGTCCCCTCCGACCGCCACGGCCTCTACTGCCCCCGCCTCGCCGACGGCCGGGGCATTGCTCCCAGTCTTCGTGAGCGCTAGACATTGCCGGCGTCACCCACTCGCCTCCGCCGCCGTCCAGCCGCCCTCTTTCGTGGTACTCGCGAACGGCTTCCTCGGCCGGGGACCAGGGGCGATCCCCGCCGCCTCCCCTCCGCCGAAAGAAGAACGGGGCCGGCTCAAACTCTCCAACACCGGGCGCGCCTCCAGCCATCGCACCGTCCGGTTGTCCCCATGATCCGTTCCACCTCCGGCCGTCTTCGCCGCCGCGTACCCGTCGGTGGTGCTCTTGTCCCGGCGATCCGGTCCACCCGGCACCAAAGTGCGTGGAACCGTGGAGGAGTTGGCCGGTGGGGTCGGTCCGCACGGCGTCGCGTTCGGCCGCTGCTGCCGCCGTGCTTGCGGCAGCGGCAGCGGCGGCGGCGGTGGCGGCAGCGGCCGCCGAAGCCGACGACGCCTCCGCTTCGACGTCGCAGAGCCGGATGGCCTCTATCGCGTCGCGAGAGCGCCGGAGGGCGGCCCTGAGCTCCTCCACCTGCCCGTCCAGGGCAGATCGCTCGCACTCTTCCTCCTCCGCGCGGTGCTCGGCACGATCTGCTTGTCGGTTGAGAGTCAAAACAGACAAACGTCGGCCGGTGTCGTCGTAGACACTCGATGCGAGGAAAGGAAGACGCGGAAGGGCACGCCAGGGGAAGGGCGGACCTATAGAAACGTGCCCGTTTTTTTTCGTACGTGCAGCTTTCGAGCACTTGTACCGACCGATGCCTTAAGCACTCAACTGTCCCGACAAATTGTCCCAACCGTAGCATGCTGCCTTGTGATCCACGTCGACAGCAAGCCCACAAAAAACACGCACGAATCGCCCTGGTAGATGGGGAGGGGGGAAAGAACCAACGCCGCCACCCAGGCGAACAACCTTCCGTGTCCGAACCATCGCCGAATCAAACACGTCGCTTTCGCCTCCGGGATGCCAACAAAAAGAAAAACGAGAGAAAAGTTGTCCCAACAACGATGCCGAGGCCCTGTGAGAGAAAAACACCCTTCCCTGCGCTATGGGTTTGCCGGCAACCGCCCCAAACAAACGCCAAACTACACCGCTCACGGAAAAAAAACAATTGACACCAATGTTCTGTTCTGACCTCGGTCTAGCTCGGCGCTCGAGAGAGCTTGCCTGAGCTCCGTGGCTTCAGCCTCCCACTGCCGCTCCCTCTCCCTGCAGACCGGCAGTACAGAAAGCCAGGCAAGATAGATTGAGGGGTGGGTAACTTGCTGGGCGGTTGGCGTCAGGGAACAGGCAGAAATAACGGCGGCAGTTACTAACGGATGTCAAAGACGACTCGTGGGAGCGTGCCCCCATGACCCGTGAGGGGAAAACAGAGTGGCCGTGGCGCTACCATTATATTTTGTACATTGTGTGGAACGAAAAGTGGACGGCCTCAGCAACCGACCGAAAAGATTCCGTCGTCGCGCAGCAAGAACAATCACCAGTAATATAGGCGGCGCCAGCTACACCATGCAGTTTCTATTCGCCATTTCCCCGTCTTCCTGCTCACCTCAGCCGGGTCGCCTCGGCCTTGAGGGCGTCCCTCTCCTCGGTCGCTTTCCGAAGACTCTTCGCTTGGCGAGCCCTCTCCTCTTCCATGGACGCCTCTAGCGATCGAACTCTCCCCTCTAGCTCTTGCCGCCCGAGACGCACGAACGCCCGGTCGCCCTCCACTGTCACCTCTCTGCCAGGGAAGAAAAACACAAAAAGAACAAAAAACGCCAATGTATTCAGGGCATGTTCGTCTTCGGGGGGCTAGATCTCTGCCGTGTTCTAGAGTGAAGACGGCGGCAGCAACAAAATCCGTGAGTGTTAACATCTCCACAATATCGTATCCCCATGCTCTTGCCTAGCCTAGGTTCCAAAGGCTGCTTGCTGGTGCTCTCCTTTCATGGCGAACAGTAACGAAGAACGCCACGAATTTACATGCATAGCAAGCCCCTTGCCTTCGCCGCTCCGCCTTGCACCGCTCGCTGGCCGTAAGCCCTATCCCCTGCTTGCTATATATCCGCACACAAACATAAAAGGGAAAACGACACAACAGGGTATACCCTGGTCGAAAAGCGACACACCTGGGTACACAGTCATTAACAGCAGTAAATGCATTCATATGATTGGTCAGCGCCCAATTTCACCCCGGTACGTCCGAAAAGGAGCAGGGTATACCCTGCTGTGTCTACTTTTCTCACCAACTGCTGTACCCTGTTATCGGAAGTGTACCCTGACCTGACGGGAAATAAGACCCATTCATCAATCATTTCCCCCGCAGGAATCTTCCCAACTCCTTTTCCTCTCCAACCATGGGGTACCAAACGGCGAATCTTCCCACCCAATAACAACCATGGCAACGCGGCAGGAATCAGTTTCCGCCCCTGCCAAACAACACCAACCATTATTAACTCTTCCGCTCTAAATCAACAATGGCCGGGCACTACCCCAGCACAGCAGTTGTTCCGTTTGGAAACATGCACACGCGCACAATACCCCGTGCACCACTGCTTGCTGCAGTCTATATGCGACATGCACGGGTCACGCTACGAAAGCGAGACCGATCCAGCATGGTTGACATGCACATATATATATTTATGCATGTATGTCCACAGCACTACACGGGTAACGTTGGGCGCCGCCACTCCCTCCTGCCTGTGCCGTGTGTGCGTGGGTGTGTTGTCTGTTGTGTCTCAATTGCGATGTGTTTCTTGCTTGAACTACTACTACTGCTGTAACAGCAGCGGTCGCGCTTACCAGCCGACCAAGCCGACCAACCAATCAATGTATGTAGTAACAAGACGTCAGGCTTCAGCGGGATGAGCCGATGAAATACACCGCGAGCACAGGGAGGGTGATTGAGTTGGACGACACAGTCCTGCTGCCAGAGTTGTTAGCACTCGCTCCTCCTTCCATGATTGATGTCAAGGGCGTGCCTGTGTGTGGTGTTGCTGCCTCTCTCCTCCGCCCGCTCAGCGCAGCGCCACACATCATGGGCACATACATGCATATATATGCATGTCAACCATGCTGGATTGGTCTCGCTTTCGTAGCGTGACCCGTGCATGTCGCATATAGATAGACTGCAGCAAGCAGTGGTGCACGGGGTATTGTACACGTACGTGTGTGCATGTTTCCAAACGGAACAACTGCTGTGCTGGGGTAGTGCCCGGCCATTGTTGATTTAGAGCGGAAGAGTAGATGGTTGGTGCTGTTTGGCAGGGGCGGAAACTGATTCCTGCCGCGTTGCCATGGTTGTTGTTGGGTGGGAAGATTCGCCGTTTGGTACCCCATGGTTGGAGAGGAAAAGGAGTTGGGAAGATTCCTGCGGGGGAAATGATTGATGAATGGGTCTTATTTCCCGTCAGGTCAGGGTACACTTCCGAAAACAGGGTACAGTTGGTGAGAAAAGTAGACACAGCAGGGTATACCCTGCGCCTTTTCGGACGTACCGGGGTGAAATTGGGCGCTGACCAATCATATGAATGAATTTACTGCTGTTAATGACTGTGTACCCAGGTGTGTCGCTTTTCGACCAGGGTATACCCTGTTGTGTCGTTTTCCCAACATAAAACATGCAAAAAAAAAAAAACTTTAAGCAGGATCTGGGGTTCTTCGGTGCTCCTGTCGCCAAGAGTGGCACATGGCATGTAGCCCGCTTGCCTGCGCATCTGGTAGGCCTCCTTGTACACCGCCGCTTGCTCGGCCGCCCTCTCCGCTTCGGCCTCCGCCGCGGTGGCCCTCGCCTCCTGCGCCAGAGCGTCGCTCCTCGCTTTCTACGTCAAAAAAAAAAAAAGGTCCAACGGAGGAGCTACTAAACAACAAAGACTAGACGATGACTTTTTCGTCGGCAAACGTTTTGCGAGGGCCGCACGGACCAGGGAAATCAATCGGAAACGTGTTAAGGGCACCAGAACGGCCGCGGAAGGTAGATATTCTGCAGTACTTGTGCTGCGTGGGTCCTCTTCGGCCAGGAGAAGGCGCAGACCTAGTGCTGTGTGCTGGTGTTCTCGTCGCCTCGTCAGCAGGAATCACTCTTGAAATTTCACGATAAATCAACGGGGTATTGTCTGCTTCCATGCTTTCCCCCTCCTCCGACCTTGTTGCTGTTGTTGCGTGGTCGCTGTCTTCAAGTGACAAACAACTCTCTATGTAACCCCGATATCCACTACAGTACCTCAGTTTTGTCTACTCTTCTTGTTCGGGAACTTCCGCCATCACACGCTTCGCCCAGAAGTAAGACTCGTCTTCTCATCTCTCTGCCATCGATGAACTAGACCGAAATACCCCCCCCCCCCCCTCCCCCCCTCATCTTTCTGCCATCGGGATTGGGTTTTCGTCGCTTGGTAACGACGTTGTAAAAGAAGCCAATTCACTTCGTGACTCGGCAACCAGGTTACCGTTTTTTTTTTTTTTTTTTTTGGCAGTAACCATGGTGGTCGAGTAGATCATGTTGTGCGGGGTGGAGAAACCTCACTCCGCGCAAGGGGGATGATCGCACCACGTTGTGTTAAAATGGTCAAGCGTCCTCGAGGCAGTTACACAGTGCTTACAACTGTCTCTGGAAGTGAAAGCACCAGAAAATAAATTAAGTCATACGCAGCTGTCATCCGTACGCAAGGAAGTAAGCACAAGATGCCGAACACCCTTAGCATGATGCAGCTCACCCTTCATGCGACTCGCCGAATACCTCACGGTGCTTCGCGCTTGGTGATGTGAGAGCCTGGTCCGGTGAGAACCCGGCATGCTCCGTCTCGGCTTTGTAGGGATGCGAGGTCAATGGTCTAACGACTACGGCATGCACGACTATGAGTACACCCCCCCCCCCCCCCCCCCCCCCCCCCCCCCCTGTCTTTTTGTTTGGCCC